TTTATAGATTTAATTAATTTCCAAAATTATAAGAAATTATCATCAGATATCAAAGCACACCTTAAAACTAGTTATTTTTTAATACATATAAAATTGGCATAAGACTAATTTCAATGAAACAACAGTTAGCCCGAGTATATAATTTTTAAGTGTAATAAAATTATATCACACACGGAGACACTAAGGTCAATGTGGAAACTGACTTTCTGTAAACTAGACTAATGGTTTAGTCTAGACTAAAAATATTTTTACAAATCAATAATCATGGTTGATATGTTCAAGGACTTAAATGATAATATGAAAATTTTGGCAAAGAACTATACACTGTAAAAAAGATTCCCCTGGAAATTTTTAGGTATGATAAATGCAGTAACTGAAATTAAGAACTGTATGAATGAGATTAGCACTCCAGAGAAGGCCCAGCAAAGAGAGAATCAATGAACAGGAAAATAAGGGGAAAAAATAGAGACTGGTAACTTTTGATGGGGAAAAAAAGAAAGATTCTAACTTGAAATGCAAAAATGAAATAGTCACCCAAGACAAGAAGTCTAAGCTTTAACACTCACATCTATGTTGAAATAACTTGTATCATATAGCTTGAATGTCTATGTCCTCCCAAATCTATATATTAAAATGCTAACCTGCCATGTGATGGTGTTAGACGGCAGGGCCTTTGGTAAGTGATGAGGTGATGACCACGAAGCCCTCGTGATGGCATCAGTGCCCTTATAGAGAGACCCCAGAGAGCTCTCTCACCCCTTCTGTCATGTGAGCACACAGGGCGAAGACAGCCATCTAAGCACCAGAGAGAGGGCCCTCACCAGACACCCTTAATTTCAGACTTCCAGCCTCCAGACCTGTGAGAAATAAATTGCTGTTGTTTAAGCCCCCAGTCTGTGGTATCTTTGTTACAGCAAACCAAATGGATTAAGACATATCTAAACAGCGAAAAAAAATATTTTACAAGAAACATTGTAATAGAGGATATTTGCTTATTTCCAAACAGCAGAACAAAGGTATGTACAAAGGCACAATTTTTTAAAATACTAGTTAATTTGTGACAAAATAGTAGTTTCTGAAACTCCAGTATAAAAATATTACTGGTAACTTTGTGAACTAATGTAAATATATGACAAATAACTAATAGCTATTATTTATTCATAAACTATAAGAGAAATTTGCATATTCATTCTTGAAGGAATAAAAAATGGGACACTGCTTGTTATTCTGAGTATAAAGGAGCCCCTTTATGCTTCAACTATAACGAGCACATAGCAAAGTCTTTTATTTAAAAAAACCTATCTAGATGTGTAAGGTTCTTTAGGAAAGAGAAGACTGACATGAACAAAGGGTCTATACTGGACCAAGTCACACACATGGGCCCTTACATTTCTAATTTAACTCAGGCTTCACAACATGATCCTATGAGGTTAATAATTGTGCCTGTTTTATAGATTGGTGAATTGAGTATCAAGAGGTAGAAATCTACCCAAGATCAAACACCTAGTAATTGGAGAAGTTCAGTTCAAAATCCAGTTCTCTTTGACTCCAAAGTCCAGGCATTTTGCAGTATGTGCATCCCAGATAACTCGCCCTCTACCATGGAGAGCCCAACGTCGGTGCCTTACTCTTCTGTAGTGTCAAGCTGCTGCCAATGAGTTTTAGCTTATCTCCTCAACATTTGATTCCTGTGCATTTGATTCCTTTAGTTTCCATACTTATGGCATAAATGATCACTATGTTCCTTTTTAGCACCAAAAAAAGACTTTCTTTTCTAGGACAAGGCTCCCCCAATTCCAGTCATTTTCCTCCAAATTCTGTATTTTTAGCAGACTTCATGGCAGCCCAAAGTGTTTTTCTCTCATCTGCACATAGCCCCTACGTGTAGTGTGAGACTGCAGTTCTGCATCCTATATGCTATCTCACTAGAAGACAGCAGTGTAAGAACCATATTGCATTTGGATTTTAAACAGCTTGAGTTTAAAAAGCAAAAATCTGATGTCCTTTCAGGCAGCAATTTTTCTGAGTCATTCCTGAGAAGTGGCTTTGCCTCACTGCCCCTTTGAAACATAATGATCTTCAGATGCCTCATTCCCTCAAAGGAAGCATCTTTAATTGGAGAAAGTAGGAGAAAAAACAATTGGGCCAAGTTCTCTCAGAGGATTTACAGTGCTTTTCACAGCTCATTTATAAGTTTATCTCTTCTCCTACTCTTCCCACAAACCCCACAAATATACAGGCCTGTCAAGTTTTTTTCCTCAGAAATTAGTCATTTATAAAGAAACCAATTATTTTTACCAAAGCAATCTATAATTGCATTTTAAAAGCTGGTAGTGTTATAGGCGATGCAATCAAATGCAAACACATAAGAGCGTTGAGATGATTCATTCACTCGGCATCCTCCCCGTTACTGGTCCAGTTAGGGAAGCTCTGGACTCTGGTTTCACTTCTATGGCATCACTACGAAGTTCCAAGCTTCTTTTGGATCCTGCAATTTTCCCCAAGTTTTTCTGGCGATTCGAACCTTAAAGGGGGAGAATGGGGAGAGGGGAGGGGAGGAGGAGGAGGAGGAGATTTCCCCTCCCTCCACATCTTTTTTTTTAATTAACCAGTGTCAGTTTCTGCTGCTTACAATCTAAAATCCTAACTAATTCACATAATAAACTCACATGCCATAAAATACATTATTTAACAGGAAGTGTCCCAACTCTTTCTCTCTCACCCCTCCTCCCACCGTCTGCTCTGCACACACATCCTAGTTACACAGTTCCTTTAACTACTCGAACCCTTCCTCTCTGGTGGCATCTCCCAGATGTGCCCATTGCAATGAGTTTAATATTTCAAACTCATTTACCCGTCCTCCTATCTAGTGATGTTTACTCAGAGCTGTTGAACTGAAGTGGAAGTTAAGGAGTAATCAACATGATTAAGCCAAATCACACCAAGCTTTCAATAATCAATAGTTTCTTAATCTTGTAGGGCATATTTGCATTTCTTTAAAAAGAGGCTACTATTACTCAAAATTAATTTCTATTTGTTAAAATCTCAGGCAGGATGGCAAAATGAAGACTTTTAGAGGGAGACCATAAGGTAGCTGTTTTTAAATATTTCTTGTCACGTCACTGAAGAAGCCCACTGATCTGGTTGTGGTTCAGCCAGTGAGAGATGAACGGAGGGCTACTTGGACCTGAGAACGTATCTATCGATAAACAGGTTCTGGTTAAATTATTTTGTGTGTGTACATAAAGCACTCAGTCTACTTCACGTGTGATCAACGGAGTCAAAAAAGACATACGGTGTTACCACATGTGGCCAACACACCCTAAGAAGGCCCTCAATGCCCTTTCCTCAGTTTTGAGGATGGGGCAAAACCAATGATTTGTTTCCGACCCACAGAATATGGCAAAGGTTAGGTACACAAAGGCCCTTGACAGGCAATGTAAGAACGCATCGGAGCAGAATGAGAGACTCTTGCTTCCACACTGGGAGATGCTCTGAGAGAGGACCGCAGCAGCTCCTGGGTCCCTCCTCCGTGTTAGGATGGCACCTACCATGGCTCCTGCTTGTCACCGCAGCCCATGCAAACGTGGGACTGGACCCTCGTCCATTTGCAGGTTCTACTCTGACTTCACCCTCAGTTTTACCTCCCAGTGTTTTTACACCACAGCCACTGGAGCTCCTCCTGCATCTCATATCAGAATCTTTGTCTGATTTGGAAACCGCTGCCTTGTTTTTTTTTGTTTTGTTTTGTTTTTGTTGTTGTTGTTTTTGTTGTTTGTTTGTTTGTTTGTTTTTTCAGAAAGACAGGGATTACCATCACCTTGGAAAGGCCGGCAGCCCAGTGCAATCTGAAATGTGCAGTGAGTGGTTCATGGGTGTCTAGACACCTAAAATAGCAATTCAGTGCAATTTTAATCAGCAGGATGGTTTAATGGAATAAAAGTGGCTGAAGCATCTTATAGCTCCTATAACTTTCAGTGCTTTAGTGATTTTCTACCAGTTAAAGTGCATATTTTTAACACATTCTCTGAACACATTCTAGTTAACTTTCCTATTTTACAGCTTATCGGTTTCATCATACCCCTGGATGGCAAGTGGTTATGACTTCCTTCTGGATAATACCCTCATACCCACTTCCCTATAAAGTGACTAGTATTTGCTATATTTGTTCATTTATTGTTATTACAAGCAAAAGCATCACAAATCTGACCAATCTCAAATTTCCTGAAAGCTCTACTCATATTTTCTCAAATTTGCAATTAGATTTTGAAGTTCTTACACCATAGAATTCTTAATTTATTTCTCCAAATATAAATGCCAGATTTTTAATTTCTCATTCATGCTATTGGTCTTTTTTTCAGGCACAATTCTAGTCTTGGCACTTTTGCTCTTTTTTTTTCTGTTGTCAATCTCAATTCCAATATCACCTTTTCCCATGATACCCTTTCGACTTCAATTTTAATCATAAATTCAATACCATCTCTGGTCACCAGACTCCGCCCAGATCTAATGCCCTCTCTCTCCTTCTCTTTCGCCTTCTCCTTCTCCTTCTCCTCCTCCTTCTCTTTCTCATTCAGGCAATTATGTTCTAATCATAGCACAAAGCACTCCAGGAAATTAAAGGGAATAGAGGTAAGTTTATTTGAAAGCCCTGTGACGGAAAGGCAGTTTAAATTCTGTGAAAAACCAACAAGCAACCCTAAGGAAAGGAAATTTTAAATATAATTTTGATTTAACATAATCAGTAAATAACACCTACTTTGCTTGCAACTTAAAATTAAAATGTGTCATAATTGAATAGATTACCAATATATCCACGAAATGCTATGAAGAATTGCATTCACCTCGACACAAAGCTCCAGCACTTCCATCTCTCCTGGATCAACCATTAGTGCTAGTTCACAACTACAGTACACTTAGCAGCAAGCAACTCATTTTAAAAAAATATAAATTTAAAAGAATTCTTCAACTACAAGTAGTAACATATTAAAAATACTTACAATTTCTTTAAGATAGCCAGGAATTCTTCTAACTTCTCTTCGTATTTTTTGGGTCCATATAAAGTATGGCCGCCTCGTGCTTTTTTAACATAGACAGCTATATTATGAGACTCAGCATCAGACTGTTGGGGCTGACTTTCTTCTGTGCCTTTAGGTTCTCTGAAAAAAGAAACATAATATTTTATGGTATTGCATATTGCGCAAAAATTACTCACATGAACTTTTATTGTCAAGAGTAGAAATGCACTATTCTGAGATCATTTGTCATTTTAATATATTCCTTTTTCAATGTCTTAGTTTTCTTTTCAGTCATCAGTAGTGCAGTTAAACATGTCGCTCTGTTAAGTCTACAAATTAGCATACATAAAATATTTTCTACATGCAGAATTTGATTATAGGTATTATAACTGTCCTAAGTGATTGAAACATCTTTCATAATAAGTCAGGTATACATAATTTAAGGAAATATTTCAAATCAATGGTTAAAATCCTTCTCTTTACACCCAAAGTTGTTTTTCAGTGTTTTTTTTTAGCACTAATGATATAAATCGTTTTTTAAAAACTTTTGTTTTTTAAATTCGTAAATTATGAACATCTTGAAAGCAGCTACCATACTTTATTAGTCTGCTACAGTATGTTATACACTTAGGTACCCGAGAGATGTATGAATAAATGACCATTTCCCATTCATTCTCCAGCTCCAATCATTCCTATTAAGAGGTCACATAAAACCTAAGGGCAAAGAATCTAACAAATGTTGTCCATCCTTAAGAAAAAAAATAGTGGAGGAGACAATAAAAACCCAAATGATCATAGATTAGTCACCTTTAGTTATATACATGAGATGAGAAAAAATAAAATTAAATATAAGATAAACATTATATGAAATAATGATGACAACAGTGTCTAATAAGAATGAACTGAGGCTTCAAATTAAAACAAAAGTTTATTTGGGGTATTTGGGGATTTGAATCTGAGTGTCGCAGATATAAAAGGAAACCTGAAATGTGCTCCAGAGAAGACAAAGAACACCAGCTTATATAGGCAAAACCCACAAGTTGTTTTGAAACTTTTCCTGTTGGCTATCTAACACACGGCATTCAGACTAGTCTAAAAATGACTGGTCAGGTCCAGGTGGCAAGATTCTGGGATAGGTGTTGGCATGGAAACAGGGAAGTAAGATCCAAATGTGGCCTTGCAGTAAGCACTAAAAAGAAGTTCAAAAGCATAAGTCTGACTTCCCCCATGGCCTCCTGACTCCACCTTAGAGCCCCTTGACATTAGTTACTCCATTGCAGATGTTTTGTTCATAATAACATCACACTTTAACATCTAACATATACTTCAGTCCTTAAATGGTTGGCTACTCTGCAAAACGTTATACACGCATCTCATTAATATTAGTCATGTGAGATAAACAATACCACCCCCCAATTATAAAATAAGGAACTTACAGCTTGAGTTTATATAATTTGTCTAATCACTCATAGCTAGTAGAGCTAAAAGGTTTCTTTTTTAAAAATCTCTCTCAAGTTCACAGAATATTAAAGCTTAATAGTAAAACATTTATCTGACATATACGGAAAGAAGATACTCTGGCATAACTTATACAGCCATATTAAAAGCCAAACATTTCTCCTTCCACATGTTCACAGAACTTCAGCCATTCCATCCAGAGACCTTGAACCCTATTTAAAACTCTATCTCTATTTACTCCTGTAAGTACAGTAAAAATTCAACAATGATGACAGTAAGTACAGTAAAAATTCAACAATGATGTAAGTACAGTAAAAATTCAACAATGATGAGAATTCAGATATAAAGCAATTGGCTGCTTTCCCCTACCCAGCCCTAATTCTCAAATGCAAATGGTATAAAGTTTTCTTATCTTCTAGAGGGGAAGTGGAGGTAGATATGGCAGACTTTGTGGCAGAACTGTGGAGAGTGAGGACTTCCAGTCAAGATGGCAGAGCAGGAAAATGCTGTGCCCACCTCCTCCCACAACCACATCAAATTTACAACTAAACTACAGAACAACCATCATTGAGAACAACGTGGAGTCTAGCTGACCAGAAGTCCTTTAACTAAGGACATATAGAAGAATGCACCTTGAGACTGGTAGGAGGTACGGAGATGCAGAATAGGCTGGTCCCACACTCCCTTGGGGCAGTAAAGAATCGGGAGAGATATCTCAGCTGCAGAGGTCAGCCTGAGGGTCGATCCCTCCCACTGAAGCATTTAGTGTCTGCACGGAGAAATAGTCCATGGTCTATGGCCATGTCACCCTGAACAAGCCCAATGTCTGATCTTGGAAGCTAAGCAGGGTCAGGCTTGGTTAGTACTTGGATAGGAGATCACCTAGGAAGACCAGGTGCTGTAGCCATAAATAATAATAATAAATAATTTTTTAAAAAACTGTAGTCAATGTTCAGAGACTATTCTAGAGTCATATTATGGCTTTCGGGCAAAACGAAAACTGAAATCCAAGTCTTCTGGGTCAAAATTCAATGCTCTTTTTAAAACAGTGTCTCTGTCCCTTCGATTAACTGTATCTGTGATTATACCAAAAATTTAGCTTCTCTCTAGTTGATCCATGAATAAAATAAATTTTAGATAATGACCACAGCTCCAAGCAGTCCTCGATCTCGTTCCTGCCCTGTGTTCACATTCCTGGCTCAAGAGGAATCGCTCCCTGTGTCTCAACCGGGTCTCCCACTCATCTCCATTCACGTGACACTGCTCCAGGTGGATCGAACGGTTCGTGAAGCATTTCTTCCACTCTCCTTGCATGTGACTGTCTTCCTTCACCATTCAGCAAGTGCCCTGACATCACCAAATGCCCACAGCCAGGCACGTGCCATTCTTCAAAGTCTTGCTATTGTAACTGTCACATGACATTTGTGTTATGATGAATTATAGTGTTGAATATGACGATAACAATGGATAAAGGCTGTTGATGAATAATTTTAATAGCAGAAGCATTTAGAATCTGCTAATTCATCTTCCTTCATTGATTTCATTCTGCCAAAAGCACCTCTAAATTACCTGAGCTCTATTCCCACCTTCTGGGCGTCTCTGGGTACATCACATTACATTAGGGACCAGTATAAACTAAGCTTAGAGAAGATTTATAATTTCTTAATACATTTTATAAAATCTATTTTAATTCGGTTTAAGGTATTTTTATTGCTACTTTAATGTAGATTTCTTTCTGGCTAAACATATAAGTGTTTGTATCTCTCAGCAGCCACCTAACTGCACACATGAGAGGTAAAAGTATGATTTTACTTTTACTGTGAGATATGGATACTGAATTCTATTAAATGACTTTTCATCATGTATAGATAGTATCACATAGCTTCTCCTTGAGCTACGAAGATTATAAAATTATAATACCTTTTTAATGCTGAACCTCCTTTATACTCATAAGAGGAAGCCAATTTAACCATGAAGTATAAATCTGCTAATACACTATTGTATTGCTTTATAATTTATTTTGTATGTTTGCCTACACAGTCATAATTAAAATCAGTATTTCTCATTTATGTTATTCTTCTTAAATTTTGATATCAGAGTCATATGTCCATAGCAAACTTACAACCTACTTTCCATTGTGTATACTCTAGGAAAATTAAATTGCATAGAAATTACCTTTACTTGAAAGGAACTTTTAGTGATATCATTTATAGGTCTTTAATTTTCACTTTAATTCTTTTTTTGCTTCAAAAATACTTTTGAAGAGTACTTTTTACACCTTCTATTTATACCATCAGTTTTTAAAATTTCTATCTTCTGGAATAAATTTAGTATATATATTTTTTTTAGAAAATTAACCAATAACATCTAGATTATCCAATTAGCCTTGTTACATAAAGTATTATACCATAATTTACAATTTTCTTAGTTTTCTCTGTGTCATTTATTATATTATCTTTCTCATTTCTAAGAGTATTTTCTCTGTTATTAGATGAGGCTAGTTCATTCATTTTAATGACAATACTCACACATTCATTAGTCCCAATTATCATACCACATAATTAACATTCCTCCAAAGTGAGTATATGAATGTCCCCTTCCCTGCTGACCTCAAGTTCTTTGGCTATTCCCAACATGGAGTGCTGGGAACTGATAAAATGATGCCCATGTCCGAGTTCCATTTGTTCTTTCCTGTACGCATGCACACACACGTCAGCTCTGTCAAAAGAAGACACCATTACCTTTTTCCCTCCTGTTTGAAAAGTTTAGGCAGTCTGACTTTTTTCTTCAGAAATATTTTAGGATATTGCTTCATAAACCTAGTGTGAGCTGATAGGACACTGCAAGCACTCCCGCTTTAAAAAAAAAGAGAGAGAGAAATTAAATTGTAACTATGATAAGATAATAGCTTCCAAGGGAAAGATTTTTAATTCAATTCCTACGATTTAATTCTATACTACTTATTCTAAGAAGCAAATAACAAAAATATGAAACATAAACATTTTATGCTTTTAAAATACCCACTATAAAAATTGTCTATAGTGTGCTTCAGTGAGAAATATTTTAAGATTATTAAATAAATTTATGGCAATGTCAACATTAAAATTTAATTTTAAGCTAAGGCTTCTTAAAACTTTTATTTCTGTAATTGATTAAAGTCTTGGATAAAATATACAAGATAATTAAAATTCCTCCAAAATTATTCACATATAGTTTACAAATATATTACTGGAAAGTATAACTATCTGAGTCTTTGCAATGATTAATGAAAATCTCATGCAGTACTTTTTTAGGGCTGGAACAAAGCTGTGTGAGACTGAAAGACCAGCATTTCCTAAATCCAGCAGATCGCTGGAATCATCTGGGGTACTTTAATAAGTGCAGATTTCTGACGCTTTTCCTGAAGAAGCAAGATCAACCAAGGGTGGAGTCTGGGTGTGCTTTTCTACTTTAAATCTCCTCCTCCAGCTGATTTCTACTTGCAGCCAGGTTTCAATCCATTGCAAATATTAAACACGTCAACAGCAAGATCTACTGTCATTCGGTGTCAAGTAATGACATTTATTTCTGGAAATTCCTTGCCTCATGCAATTTTCCATCGACAATCACTATGAAAAGTTGGTCAGTTTTTAAAAATGCTAAACATTCATCTTGACAGCTTATTTCAATAATTTTCAAAAATGATTATACTTAAAATTGAATAATGACAAATATCTTAGTCAATATTTGTCTCATAGCAGTGAATATAAAAATGCTTAAGAGGCTTTTCTTATTTCATTGTCAATGTAAATAATAATGACACATAGTAAAATATTTATAACAGCTTTTTTCCAAAGTTTCTAAAACAACTATTTAACCCTACACATAAAACAAATATACTTTAAGAATACTATTTAACTGAATTTAAATAATGCAACATGAATGTAATTTGACATGACGTTCAGCATTTTCAATCCTACTCTTTTACTATAGAAATACATTGACAAGAACCTATGCTTTTTTTAATCCAACCACTGATATCACTGGAAGCTTTCCTAAGATTTCTTTTTTTTTCCTTTTTTTTTTTCTATTTAGAACTCACGTTCCACAATCATCTATTTTACACACTTATCTGTTATGTATTAGGTACTTGTTATAGGCCAACCATTGTGCTAAGTAAGATCTTTACTTTGTTTTTGTCTCATTGCATATTTGTATAACCTGAGAGACTGGTATACTTTATCACCCATTCCACACATACAGAAACTGAAAACTTAATAATTTGCCTAATTCATGTGGAGGACACAGGGTACAGATGAAAACTGAACTGACTTCAAAACCCATTTCTTAATATTTTGGATATACTGCCCCACTAAATAATAAAAAATGTTAGTTCTTACTATGTGCCAGGCACTCGTCTAGGATATTTATATGTATCAGATCATTTAGCCTTTACGTAACTCTATATTAGCCAATATTCTATCTTCCCCATTTTGTAGATAAAGAAAGGCCCGAAGAAGTTCAAGAGTGTGGTCCAAGGTCACACATCCGGTAGATGGCTGTGCCAAGGTTCAGACCAGGCAACCTGAGTGCAAGTGCTTAATTCTTTACCATATGCCGAAAGACACTGGGAGTGAGGAGGAGGCAGGAGCACATAGAAAAAAGGCATTCTTCGGAGAAATCCAAGGAATTTCAAAAAAGTATGCCTTTTTCTCTTTCTCTGAGAAATAAGGAATGGAAAGATGAATAAAAACATAGACATAATCTGAAGAGTTAAGAGGATGCGATACAGAGACGTTTTAAAGTAGAAAGTCTGTACCTAAGAGCATTTTCTCAGGGCCCCATAAAGGTGAGGCAAGGTCTCTCAATGAAGGAAGGTGTGTGTGTGTGGGGAGGGTGGGGGGTCGGGGTGGACTCTGATGGATACTAAAGACACTCAACACTCCAACCGGAGTGAAGGCATTGGCAAGAAAATAAATTTAAAAAATACGTATCTTCAAGCATAATATACCTCAGGAATTGTGAGCTTTGAACCATGTATTTCCCAGTTCTTTGGCTTAAGTATATTTCAACTAGGCATCTCCTGTGCAGTAAAGATTTGTGATTTCAACCATTCTCTTTTGTCTTCAGTGGCAAATTATGCTCAGAGACTGAGTCTGTGTATGCCAGCAGTTTACTTAACGCAGGTTCCCTGCATAAATTTCACAAGCCAATAGCATACAGGATAACGTCCCTTAAGCCAATAAAGAAATAACATCCTCAAAAGCAATGATAGATTAGTCACACTGTATTCCAGGCAAGGGTTGAGAAAGTCAAATTTAGCTGCGGTGGACCTTTCTATAGGAAGCACTCAGAAGAGCCAGCCTTAAGCACCAAGAGCTGACTTCCAGCTGCCAGGGGTGACACGAGTCCCCTGTGCTAGGGGGCGAAGGCACCGTGTGGGCGCAGGCGAGGCTGCTCCCAGGGTTGTCACCCCAGGGACCACTACGTGGTGTAGAGCCACTGCCGACCAGAGACCCCTGGGCCACGGCAGGAGCGGGTGTCCCTTCGCTTCCCGAGACCGCTGCCTGGGTTAACGCCACTGCCACCAGACGAAACTCTCTGTAGCGCCCACAGCCTCCGGCATCTAGAGCCCAGACATCCTCCGGCCTGGCGGCTTCTCCACAGGGCCTCACCTATGAGCCCCGCTGTGCCCCTCAGCAGCTGAGCTGGAGTCCTTACCAACAGCAACAGCGACAAGAGGACATCCTGACACAGCTAATTCACTCATGCCGAAACAACTTTACTTCTAAAACGACTTCTTTTTGTCTTAGTCATAAACAGGCAGATTAAAACAATCTCATATAAGTCCTAAACACAGGTGGATTTGAAATCATATCAAACCAACACACAACACATTTAAAGCTTTTTCCCCTATGACTGTTTTCAGAGTACTAGGGAGGACCCAGCTAGGGATAAATTATGTTTGTTTCACACAAAATTGTTCCTCTAAAATGTGACATATATATTCTGTCTCTTCAATCTGGGCAAATAACCTCCAGTTTTCAAACATTTTTATTTGCGTGGTAAATCAGGTATCTATGAGAGTCAATAATGGTTCATTACTATACTTTATCCATGAAACAAACACAGTAATATTCATTTGAGTGACAAAAAGAGAAATGCGTGAATATATTACCAGCTTTGCTGTCCACTCCTGTTGCATAATGCATTCAACTGACCGTAATCAATGTGCGTAGACATTTTCAAGCCTGCAAAAAAAAAAAAAAAATCAATTAAAAATGCAAGTAATTTTCTGTAATCTTATTAACCAAGTGTGTAAATAGAGTTTAATTGCAAACATTCATCATAGTAAAAGAATTCTGTGACTATGAAAGTGAGGTATTATTATATATTAACAATCTTTGTTTGACGTGCAAGCAGAGTTAAATAAGGTGATTAGAATGAGGAAAGAATTTAATGTTTTTCATTGGCGTCAAATTTGGGCTGGTATTGTTGCTTAATTCCAGTAAATGCTGGAGTGTGATATGTCCTGTTGCTCCTCTGGAAGTGAGCCTTTCACAAACCTTATCTTCTATCTTTAGAAGGTGAAATCTGGACATGACAATTCAAAAAAGAGTTTCCTTGAGGCCTCTGTCTCTGCCTCTCTCTCCGCAACACTGGCAGTTCTGACCCATCCCTGCACAAGCCCCCATCCTGGGCCAGTCCCATTCCACAGCACCTTCGGTGTCTGCATTCAGTGTGTAATTCCTTCTGAAGTTCAAGTGTAAGCAGGTCACAAAAGATCCGTAGCAGCAGAAAGACAGTAGTCATAGCCAAAAGGAAAAGTAATTGTGACTGTCCCTCAGTGCTGGAAAGAACTGCCAGAGCAGTGAGCATGATCAGCATCCTTACAGCAGCAAGCACTCGTGTCACAGGCCCCCTCCTTACTCCAGGAGAATGGTTACTGTGAGAAACACCACAAAACAGAACGCCGGAACAACACCAGCACACGCATTACTCCTTCCTTCAGTGAAAAGCACTGAAAACACTGTGGCTTAACACATTCCTAAAGCTTTTTAAAATGTATTTCATTGTATTCATTGACTACATCCCCTTAACAAAGAATTGGTACTCGACATGTCCAAAGCCACCCAGGTCAATTTCAGGTTACTGAATCATAAAACTTCATGTTCTCTTTAACCCTTTGGTGATCTAAAAATTAATCATCAGTAATAGATACCAGCTTCCTAAATATGAAATTGAAGTAAGAAAAATTTAAACGAAAAACTGCTTGCTATCCACATAAAATCATACCATTTAATAAATTTGAAAGTACTAATTATATGATTTAGGCATTTTCTTATCTACATTACTCCGTCAAGCCTTAAGAAACAAAAAAATTATATATATGTAATTGCATTCTAGCATCACATGGAATAAATATTTTAGGTGAGCCAAGTTACAGCTAGATTATATCAAAAATACTTTTAGTATACTAATATTTCTGATATGGAATATTTTATAAAATCTTAATGACAGTATATTTTTAGATACATGGATTAAGAAAATACTTCTGCTAACTATTGGTTTAGTGCATTTTCCTGGCCCAGTTTAGTACAGGGTCAGACATAGTCCTGGTGACTGGTGTGGACAGGAAAGGCTGTGGTGCCATAGAGATGTGGAAAAAGGTCAAAAAAGTTTGAGAAATACTGATTAAAAAAGGGGCTTTGAAAAAGTAAATATCTTCATCCCTCAGCTAAAGCAGCTTATAAAAACTAAAAAGTATCGTAGAATGAATGTTATAAGTCTAAGAATTGTTAGAACAGAAAAATTGAAAAATCACCTTGTCCGAGAAAAGCTACTGCACTTGAGAGTAAAGTTTTACATTAGGCTTGGTACAGCCAAGAAATCTCAAAACCAGAATGGCTAGATAGTACTCACGGCCTAAAAGGACACTCTACAATCAGTAAAAAATGTCCTCTTCACTCATCCTCATTTCCAAGAGAGATATTTGTCACAAGGGTCTCTACATAAAGGTTATTGAGCAACGTAATGGATTTTGTCTTTGAAGCAGTTTCATTAAAAAGGAAAAAGCCAAAAGATTTCAACATGAAATTGCAGCTTTGTAAATACCAGTTGAGCTTTTCTGGTGATCAATTTTAACACAGGGATAAAGCTCAGAGAGTTTCAAAGAGTACTAAGTTTACAATTGTATCCCCATCTTGTTTTCCCCTCATGAATATGTCTTAGTCGGAGTTTTGACAGATGTAAAGGGGCTTAACACTGTAATGGGGATAAAATCAAGGATTTTGACCAGAGTAAACTTGAAAAAGGATTAGAAGCTGATATAAAAGCATGGATACAAAATTAATCCTAAACTAGAATCCATGGTGCAATTGAAAAATCAATTATCTTTGTTAATATAAGGCCCATTATATATCACAAGAAAAGAGAAAGAATAAAATAAAAAGAATTAAGCATTTGACTCAAAAATTTAGAAAAATAAATTTTAATCTTTTTAAAAATTAATTTATTTTTAAGGGTAACATTGGTTAATGAAATCCAGTAAGTTTCAGTAAGGTGCATGCATATATGTATATCACATTGTGTGTTCTCCTCCCATAGTTAGATTTCTTTCTGTCACTACAGTGGAATATTACTCAACCATAAGAAGAGATGAAATACTGCCATTTGCAACAACATGGATAGACCTCAAGAAAATCATGCTAAGCAAAATAAGCCAGACAGAAAAGGTAGAAAAAGAAATTTTAAATGAGGGAAATAGTAAGGAGAATATAGAAAAGCAGAAATTAATGAGTTTATGAAATAGGAAAAACTAGAAAAGTAAATTCAAAAGCTGGTTCTTTGAAGGGAAAAATAAACTACTAACTTATCTAAACAGAAAAAAAAATGTCATAAGTACTCAATGTCAGAAATAAAAGTGGGAAATAATTATAAATATTATAAAGAAAATCAAAGGAGTGTTTCATGCGAGAATATCCCAAATAAAACTCTGAATAAAAATGAATATTTTTTTCAAGAAAATGATTACTTAAATTGACCTTGGAAGGGGGAGAAAATAGAAATAATTGCCCTGAAAGAAATGGAGAATAATCTCACTGTAATTTCTCTCTGCCACACACACACAAATGCACCAAAGGTATTATCACAGTGAACTCTATCAAATCTTTATCAAAGAAATATTCCTAATGGCAATTAAATGTTTCAAAACACAAAAAAGAGCTCTCAAATTACTTTGATGAAGCAAGCTAAACAATGGTACCCAAATAAGACCATGACAGCATGAAAAAGAAAACCAGAGACTGATCTTTTTAAATAAAAATGAGTATTTTAAATATACAGTGCCCACAAACCCATTAACAGAGTGATATCACACAATAAAGGTAGATTTAGCCAAGTAATTGGAAATGGGAACTATGAAATATAACCGTATAATTTACCACAAGTCAAAATTTTAAAAATCATAATCTCCATAGATACAGAAAAAAATATTTAATAAAATTCAATGTTGTTTTTAAATAATTTAAGTAGAAAACGTTTCTATTCATAACCTGATAAATATACCAAACCAAAAGACAGAATTATGTTTAATGTTGAAACACTAGAAATAACAAGTTCAGAAATAAGATAAAAATATCCACTAGTGCTACCCATTTCTGGAAATACTGAGTAATGTGATTTGATAAATGAAATTCACAGGTTATAAAAATTAGACAAAAGAGACAAAAATCATTGCTAACATTATAACCATATAAGTAGAAAGCAGAACCTCTTAGACTACAATCCATTAGAATATTCAGTGAAATGGCTGATTACAAAGACAAATACCCAGTAGCTTGCCCCTTTCTCTGAACCACTAGGTCAACGGAGGAAGGGAGGCATCAGTGGTGCCCAGAGGTGGGGATGGAAGGTAGGGTGCCCAGTGGCCAAGAACATGGTGTGGAGGGTACCATATGTGGGGCTGGGCCAGTGCAAAAATATTAGAGGCCAAGCGGGGTGGAGGGTGAGTGATCATGTAAGACGGGAGGGGAAGGGACGTGCCTGTGCTGGATGTGGGACACTCGGTGGGAATGGCATAGCCGTGAATTCGGAAGACTGGCTACACACGGGGGAACTGATCACAGGTATTACAGAAAAGGTAACAGGAACAACATTTCTCACTTCAGAGGATGGAGTTACAAATACAGAAAGAGAGAAGACCACAATGAACCCTGTAGTGTTGCATAAGAATTGGAAGAATTAGTGTAAATTCATGGTTTTCAATATAAATAAATTGATAAATGAACAAAGATAAATGTAAATGTGTGTGCCTTAGATCTGTCCACTGAGAGGGTCTGTGAGCAGTGACACTCTAATATCAATGAACACATAGCAGCTAGATCTTGACTTCTAAACACAATTCTGCATTACAGTGAACCAGGGTTCCTTAGGAAAATGGTGAATTCCAAGGCTCAGATGGGGAAAGCACAAGATGAGCCTGAAAAATATTGTGTCAGAAAGCAATGACAAACCAACCTGAAGGTGCTCCCAGTGGCCAAACAGTGAATGATTCCAGCATCAAAATATATTATGATAGTAACTCATTAAAATACTTTGAACAAACTAGGAAACCATAAGTTTATACTTATTTGCTATTGATTGATTGATTAAATATTTTATGAGATATGGGATATTTTAATACCTTCAAATACTTCTTCACAAAATACTTATTAATTTGAAAGAGAAAAGAGTAAATTTACAGCAACATACCACCTTCAAGATCAATCGATTAAAGTGAATATCATCAATAGTGGGCCAAGGTGAAATCACAAGCCACCTGATGAGATGGAACACAATTACTTCTCTGACATTTCTGTCAAGATGTCTAATTTGAATCTAATCACAAGGAAACATCAGACCAACCAAACTGAAGGATATTCTACTAAAGAAGTGGTTTGTAATCTCCCAGCATCAAGGTCATGAAAGGCAGGGAAAACTGACTGAAGAAGACTGAAGACACAAGACAATGAAATCCTAGATGAAATTTTGAATTGGCTCCTTTTATTATAAAGAACATTATCAAAACAATTGACTAAATTCAGATTTTCAATCTAGCGGTCTAAGAATTAAATTACAGTAATTTATTTGTGTTAACTTCCTGATTGTCAGATATATTTAATTATGTAGGAGAATGTTCTTATTTTTAAGAAATACACACTAAAATATTTAAGGATGATGAAGTATCGAATGGTTCTGGAAATATGAGTTT